ATCTGGCAGCATCTGATGGTGGCTGCGCGACACTTGAACGCTCAGGCGGAGCAGAACATGGCGGACCTGAAATCACAGATCAAGGAATCGTGTGATTGCATGGAATCGAACAACGAACTGCATCTCAAGTTGGTGGATCTCCAGTCCAAGGTGGGTCTGCTAGAGGATCGGCTGAATGCATTCCAGGAGCTCCATATGAGGTCCTGCTCCCCTGCTCAAGGCGAAAGGGTTTAGATAATTGTTTAGTTTTTGTTTTAGTTTCATGTTTCAAATTTCAAGAAAAAGTTTTTATGTTGAATAAAGTTTGTGTTGGTTTTATGGAAAGCGAATGGATATGGATAGCGAATTCAATATGATATATTGTGCTTTTTAGAGCCTTTTTTTGATGGAAGAACTTCTTATGGACCAGTTGATGCGAAGATTCGAATAGTTCTGTAAGAACTTTTAGTTAAAGACAGAAAACCACAGTGTTTTAATTAAGAACGGAGTTCTTTCTATATATTGACTTTGAAATAGCTGAAAGAACTTTCTCCAACCAGAAAACTGAAAATCCTTAGATTAAAGGCACTAAAAAGAAGATTTCTTAGGACCATAGAAGTCTTTTGATCTCAAAAATTCCCCAAATGGACCTACAAAGACCTTGAAAACCTTTTGTAGTTCTTTAATAAAACCCTTTAAAGTAATGCGATTTTCGATTTTCAAGCTTTCTTTGACCTTTTGTGGAAATCCATTTCGATGCATTTTTCTTTGTTTTTTGGACTGTTGACTGCTGAAATTACTTGATTAGATTGTTTTCTCTGCCTCTGTCGCTTGATGGATTGTACGAGACACACACTCGCCCTCACACCACACCACACTGGAAAGAAGAACAAGAGAGAACCAGTTTTGCTTCTCTTTTTTTCTCCTTTTTTTTTGTGGGTAAAAAGCCAGAGTTGGAGTTGGAGTCGGAGTCCGGAGCTGTACAAAAAAGCCTCCATGTTGAAGCACACACAAATACAATTTTAAGCCCCGCCCCGCACACACACACACACACACACATACACACACGGAAACGCGGAGGAATATGCACAAAAAGAGAGCCGGATTGCGCATGAACAAAGGCCGCAGCAGCAGCACCAGGGAGGAAGCTCATATAGTTGTCCCGCTCGCACACAGGCAGAGCCCGGCTTGAGCACGCCATTTCTCTTGCGGTGGTTGTGTGTGCGCTCTCTCTCTGCCTCTGCCGACGCTGGCCGCCATTGGCGCTGCCCGCTGTCGCTGCCTTTGGGCCCGGTTCGGGCTCTAGAATCGTATTTGAATTTTTATAAACTCTCAAGAAACGTTGGACGTTGGACGCCTGACGCGCGCGCAAACCGTAACCGAACATCGAAAACCGTAGCCCGTAGCCACCTCCGGACGTCGTGTGGGCGTGGACGTAAGCAAGGACTTTGACTCCCGTCTTCAAATCGAATTCAGGGACTAACCTGTCAGCATTGGCCAGGTGACATTCCCCCGAATTAAAAGCCCGTGTGCGCTCAAGTCAAGTGAGGCCTAAAAGTTTTCTAAGCCAAACAAAAAGCGAAAAAATAGGAAGAAAAACTGTGTCAAACATTAACAAATTACAATAAACTATTACGCTTCCGTGTGCGAAAAAAAAGTGAAAGTCTGCGGAAAAAATCAAGTTACCAAATCGTATATCGACAAAAAAAAAAAAAAAAAAAAAATCAGAGCTCTCGAGTGTCTGACCATTGTGCGATTCTAAAAACGCCAAAAACCTCTTTGGCCACACAATCAAAAGGCATTGCAAAATAACTTAAACCCATTTTCCAACACAACGCAACACAACACACATCGAAAAACACAATCGAAATTGTGTAAAGAAAAATAAAAGTTGGACAACAAAAAGCTAACGTCTGTCTGTCTGCAGCGGAAACAGCAGACAGATCGGTGGAGGAGGACTGTGTGTGCCTGTGGACTCTGTCTCTGGTGTCTCCAGTGGTGTGCCATTGTTGATTCTGCAACATTTTGGCTGTCAAAACGTTACATAATTGTCAAAGTTTGTTTGTTGGCCAAGAAAAATATCAACAACAATCAGCGATTTGTTGCAACAATTTGTGTTCAATCTTTTCACAAAAGACAACAACAATCAACAGTGTGGTGGCGCTTGTGTTTCTTGGATTATACACATCGTATGCGAATATTTCTTCACACTTATCATCATCATCGACATCAGCATTGCAGCAGCACTACACATCTGAGCCAAAGGTTCGTAATGATCCCTCTGAACCTCATGGGGGGGTGGATAAAAAATGTGTGGACTTTAGTCAAAAATATATGGGTTTACAGTTGAGAACCCACCAGAAATGGAGATCTTTACCTGTACTGTAAAGGATAACTATTTGTATAAGGATCGGTTGTGGATTGTACTGAACGAATGACTGCCTTGTTCAAAGATTTATTCGTAAAAGTGGCACGTTTAATGCCATGTTTGGAATAGAAACTAATCCTCAGAATACTCGACTCTTGCATTCAATCGATTCCAATCACATAGTAGTTGACTTGAGTGATTTCGATCAATAAAAACCAGCACGCTTTGTGAGTTTAGCAGCAGTCACACTACAACTGAGAAAACAACCCCTATGAGCGATACTCAGTCATGCACACGGCTTGTATTTTGTTATTGAGCCGTTTGCTTGCGCGTGCCGAAGAATGCCTCTCGGAGCCATGGAAGCATGCCTTCCGCTCACAAGAGTGATTCCAAAGAATTCTTAAAAGATTTTATACATTCCATAGATGATTCCATAAAGAAAGATCTGTTGTTGTCTCTGGTTCATCTCTTTATCTCAAAGTTCTCTTTTAGAACTGCAAAAATTCAGCGATATGAGGAAACCGTACAACAGTTGCTAAAGTATGATGTTCTTACAAGTTGCAACTCTCGAAAACTGTACCTTCAGCCGCCACAAAGGATTTCCCCTCAAATCAAGGAATGTTCCAACGATTTCTCACTATTTTTAAGGATAAACAATCTTCACTGAACAGCCACTACAATAATCCTTGATTCAACCAAATCACACACTTTCTTAAGTGGCTGCTTAACCTTCTTCGATTAGGTCTATAATCTATGCAAACACTAGCCCACTCCCACTCTCCCAATGTGTGTACATACCACCCCCTTGTATGGTATGGTATCGTATCGTAGAGTAAATATCAAGTAGCCGTCGGGTGTTTAGTGTTCAATCAACCCCATTAGCGGCTCCATTACGGGGAACTCCCTTCCTTCCGTCCTTCCCGTAAACATCCTGCAATGGTAGCCCAGCTACTCCTTTTTCCATCGTTCCTAACCAATTGAGCAAACAGTTGCTGGGGGCCCCCATCAACGCCTCTTTTGACCAGGGCTCACACCTTGTGTCGCCTAATTGCTGGTGACAGACGGCGGACAGCGGACAGCGGACGGTGGACGGTGGACAGTTCCTGGCCGAGACAAAACAGAAACCACGAACCCAAATCGAATAATATTTTCGTTTGTGGTTAAAGCCACAATGCGAGCGAACCAAAACAGAAAAAAGAAACGAAATGAAATGAGAGACAAACAACCAAAAGACCAAAAACGATAAGCAAACAATTCCCAAACCAAAAAAAAAGAAGAAAAAACCATTCGATTCCACGGACAACGGACAACCCACACGACGGACACCACACACAAAATTAACGGGCCACGAACTGTTACCAAAAAAATACGAGGCAGAACCCTCCTAAAATAACAGGCCAAGAGATCCCAAAAAAAAACATGGCCAGAACAGAACGTTGGCATAGACCCAAAATGGTTGTGGAATTGGAAATTGGAAGAGCGGGAGGGCAGGGAATAGGCTGTGCTGTGTGCTGTGTGCTGGTGGTTTTGTAACCAATCGTAAGAATAACAAAATGTTTTGGGTAGAACCAAGAACCAGATCTTCTCCCACTCCGGACTCCGGGGCCCATCTGGAATGTTTATTCTAATTTTTGTTTGACCCAACTCAAGTGCCAAGCCAAAGGTCGTGAGGCGTCGTCGTCGTCGTCGTCGTCACAGCACTTGAGTCAGTCTCCGTCCCTCCCTCTCTATCTATCTATCTATCTATCTTTATCTTTCTTTCGGCCAAGTTGCGCCCTCTTTTACCTTTACACTTTATCTAGATGTTTGCCCACGTCTGGCCCTGGGTCTCCCGCTTCTTGGAATTCCCAGAATTCCCGATGTTAAGTAGTCATTTTGTGATAGCATTCAATCGAAGTAAACCCTCAATTTCCTTCGAATTTTCCCAATGCAAATATTTGACTTTTATCAATATTTATGCAGGAAAACTATTGTCCCAAAAGGGTGGCTTTAATCAATGCTTAAGGCTAGTATTTGAAGATCTCTCCCAGCCTGTCATAACCCATCATTAATTAAAGAGCAATCTCTGGGAGAGTGGGGGGCAGCAGGGGAGGCCCCGTAGGGAAATCTCGTTCATTTATTGCAATATTTTTCAGCTGCTTCCGTCAGTTCGAGAGAGATCTTTCAGAGATCACGTTTATATGATTATGATTAATGATCATCGTGCACTCCACTCCAGTCTCGGACTTTAGTTACTGTCTATCTTTTATGATCTTTCCGCTCCCACAGGAAAAATGCTACTGTTTCGGGCCCCAGGAGATTTTTTTGGGCCACTTTCTATGGCAGGAAATTGATCGCTCTCTGGGGAAATGGAAAAGGTAGCTCCAGAGACAAGAGCAATCCTATTCAAATGATCAAAATATTTGTGTATATTTTCTTTGCTTTTGATTGGAAAACAATAATCATGTTGTGGGTCCAAGGGGAATGCCAGATCACGTATTACGATTATGGGAAATGATATTTGGAGAGATCTTTGGAATATGAAACAAAGAAAGATCTTTCTTGGGAAATGGGGAAATTTGTCAAGAGAAAACCATAGAATTGATTTGTTTATTATTACTCCTTTCTGAACCTCCTGGCTAACATTATTTTTATTATCCTTTCTTCACTCTAGGTGAATACATTCGCTTGCCCCTGGATGAGCTGTTGAACGACGTGCTCAAGCTCTCTGAATTCCCCCTCGAAGACGAGGTAAGTCTTTTCTACCCTTGGAATAGCCTTGGAACATCATTTAATCCATCGACATCTTGTAGTTAACCAACGATCCGGCTGCTTCGACATCGCAGGCTGCTGCCGCTTTGAACGAGAATCAATCGCAAAGGATCACCTCCGAGACGGGTGAGGATCTGCTGACTGCCGAAGGAGTTGCTGTCCAGCAGCGAAAGATCAATACAGACGGCAGGAGCACCCGCACCGACAGCGGCCAGATCGATTTCAACGATTCAAGCGACAATTTCCCCCTGTGCGACTTTGACGATCTGCAGAGCTCCGTGGGCTCGCCCCTCTTCGACTTAGATGACGACGCCAAGAAGGAGCTAGACGAGATGTTGCAATCCAAGGCACCGCCCTACCCCCATCCCCATGCCCATGACCATCCCCACGCCCACGGCCACCCCTACGCGCATCCGCACAGCCACCACCATGCCGCTGCAGCCGCCGCGCATCACCACCACGCCCATGCCCACCATGCCGCAGCCGCAGCTGCCGCCCACCAGCGGGCCGTGCAGCACGCCAACGCCAACTATGGCGGCGTGGGCAGCGCTCCGGGCAGCGCCTTCCAGCGCCAGCCATCAGCTGCCGGTGGATTCCATCATGGCCATCATCAGGTAGGCATCAGAACATATCACATCAGATCAGGAATGCATTGATCTTAATCCCCTGGTCGCCCTACCGAGTGGGGGGGGGGCCCGGGGGACTCTACTCTACAGACAGCTGTATATTTATTTATAATTTGATGCGGATGCTCTTCGATTCAAGTGCTGCCATCCGTTGATCGCTCTGAATGTGTATGTACACGGGTCTATATATATTCTGTAGAGGTGTTTGTGGATGTCAGAGGCGTGCAAGAGGATTTTTTCAGTGGGTGAGAGGGTTTCAAACCTTTGACTGTACTGACTTTCTGTAGAATCTTTCTTCCCCAAATCGATTTTTAGCGAATCGAAGAGTATTTTTCTTCGTTTTCAACACGCGTTGGGGTTCAAAACTTTTGCCCATCCAATCAGCTGTTCTTGATATGTCATTTCATCGAAGTATCGATAAATTTCTGGTATTTTATTTCGAATAATCAGCCACGGAGAGTGCCTTTCGCGTCATTGACATGCTATAATATGCGTCTTATTTTAATATCTGTACAATTATCGAACGATTTTATCGAATTATCGATGACACTTTAGAATATTTTGAATGAATACTAAAATCAAGCGTCACACGTCAATACTTTTACCATATTTTCTAAAAAAATCGGACATATTTTGTTGAATATGGGTCCTACGCCCAAGTTTCCTGCATATTTATACACACACACACGTGTGTAATCATTCAAGGATCATTTGCACATGGCTTTCGTTATTCTTATTCTTCTTGTGTTTCTCCCTCTTCTCGTTCTTGGGCTTCACCTCTGCTTTTGTCGAGTGTCTCTTCTTCGTTCTTCCCTCTCTCTCTCTCCCTTTGAATGCTTCACGTGGTCCCCACTCCATCCCACCCGACAGAGACCCTTCCTTCTTGCAGTGTTCTGTTGGAGCACTTGATCTTGGGTCTCCACTGCTTGCTTTTGCTCTCTTGAGGCAAGCTGGAGGAGCTGTTGCTCTTGCTGTTGTTTGTACAAAAGCTTCAAATCTGGTTGTACATGTGCTCCCCTCTCTGTCCTGTCCTCTCCTACCCTCCCCTCTTTCTCCCCACTCGCTCTGTTAACCGCTTTTATTCCGTTGCCAGCCAAGTTCGTCAATCAAGCCACAATCTTGGCTCGGCTCCTCTTCTTCTTTCCCTCGAACTCTTGTCTGCCTCTGACGGTTTTTTTTACCCCTCGTGCTTTTGTTGTAACTGCTCATCAAAAATGTACAACAACCGGCCACGAAAATTATGATTGTGAGGCGAATGCGAGCAACGTAAAAATAATATATACCTACGGATATATGTACATATGTATAGGTTTATATATATGTAGGTTTGGTTTTGCTTTGAGTCTGTCTCCCATCTTGGTTATTTTTTATGCTTTTGCTTTGCAGACTCTTCTCTTCAGTTTTTTATGAGGTTTTCCAAAGATTTTTCTCGACTTGTTTGTGTTGTTCTCGACCCTACACTATTTCTTCCTCACCTCTCTCTCTATCTCTGGAGCTATTTTCGGATGTCTTTTAGGTTTTCTTTTTAAGAGAACTTTGCCTCTACAGATCACAAAACTTTTGCTTAGAAAAAGGATCTCTTAGTGATCCTCGAACTCCAAGGTTGTACAAACTTTTGTGAATATTTTCCTGACGCTTCGAACCCTGCTCTCCTAAGCCACCGCAAATCTGAGCTCAAAACAAGTGCGCAACAACAACTACTGCAAACAGTAGCAGCTTGAATGAAATTCTCTCTCTCTTTCCCTCTGTTAGTGGTTGACAATAGCGACACGACACACACCACAACAATGGCCGCAAGAACGCAGTGTGCGAGAGCGAGTGAGGCGTCGAAGCAGTCACGAAGTCAGCGACAAATTACCGTAAAGTCTCTTCTCCTCTCTTCTGTCGGTAGCAGCTCTGTGGTGTGTTGCGGTCGGCAGAGGAGGAGGATTAACCCTAGACACCGCACTGGGAGATTCCCGTTCCGTTCCATTCCGTTTGATGTGGTGCGTCGCAGTTTTTGTGAATGCACAGCAGGTTGTCTCCGCTGTCTCTTTGCGGCAAAGCCATTTAATGAGCAAGATGATCTGTTGATCTGATGGCAGGCTCTTCGCAGGAAGTGCGTTGGCTTAATCCTCTCTCTCTCTCTCGTGTCTCTCCTGTCTCTGGGGGGACTAACTGTTAAACAGAATGTGTCATTAGCATAGTGTTTTGTTTTTTCTCTAGCTCACTGATTCCCTTTGATCCTAGCGTCCGTCGTGAATGATCAATGATCCATCAGGTGGATCGAGGGATCGTTCGTCGTGGATCATTATGTAATGTATGTGCTGCCAGCTTCCTGACAGTATTCAATTTTGCCACAGCTACCGAGCTCTGTCTCTCTCTGCCTCCCACTTGGTTGTTAATTGCAATCACGGGTTAAGCTCCTCTCTGGGAAGAGGGAGAGGGTGTACCGGCGGCGCCTGCGTTCATTACCGGACACTTTTGTTGCTGTTGATTTTGTGTACCCTTCTCTATCAGAAGGTATTATGATTTTGATACAATATTTTCAACGAAGAGAGAGAGGGAAGCGTTTTCCACTTGATCAATCAATAGTTTCTCCAGCTCTTTAGCTTTATAAGAATCCTGTTCCTGTTTTTCATGCAGTGTCTAAGTCGCAATTCACTAATATCAAATCGATGTATCGTATAAAACCATGAAAACGATCGGCCGGAATACAAGTCTGTACGGAAAACTTTCTTGCCTCTTACGACATGGCCACCAAGCATCAGAAATCGCCTTTGTATATGTTCCATAACTCAAAGCGGTTCGATCAAAGTATAATATATATCCCTGATATGTACCTAATTTATAGGTCGTAAAGCAAAAAAAAAAGGTGAACAATGTTATAAATGTTATACAAATCGGAAGACTTTATGAACATTACTTCTTAAGATATTACGGCCGAAATCAACCAAAGAATTCAAGAATTACTTCATAGTTCTCCTCAATTTCATCAACATCGGAAGACCATATAAACATCAGCTCTTAAGATATGACAACAAGCTAAAATTTCGAGTATTAGTTCATTATTTAAAAGAATCAGATGGCCATATCTTATAGCTACCATCAAAGCAATGTGTCATTTAGAAGGGTATCTAAGGCTCCTGCCCCCAAAGCTGGCTTTCTTTTCTTATTTGCTTTTGCTTTGTGCTTTTTTTGCACTTTGTGTCTCTTTCGTTTTTTGTGTCGCATGCAATGTGCCACTTGACTTTTCCTCATGGGTCTGTGGCAGGGGGCCGTCCGGCAAAGTGTTTATTGAATTCGGTGGCACTTTGCCGTCTCAACGCTGCAGTCCCCCCTTCCCGCCTTGATTGCATCTGTGGAGCGGAGACCAGCAGTAGCCCCTGCAATTAAATCTCCATTTAGAGCCGCGCGCGAATTACAGAAAGAAGCACAAAAAATTCAGCTCTTAATGTCTGTCCCTTGCCACTGCCACCGTGTCACACCCTTCTCCCCCTCCTAATCGCCTTGCACGGCTTTAATTATGTGAATTTTAAATATTTGCAAAAAACTTAACGCTGAAATCAGCGCAGCAGCAGCAAAAAAATTTTATTAATTATTTTACAGCATCTCTGTTGTTTTTCCTCGTACTTTTGCCTCTTTTTTTGTTAAATTTTTTAATTCAATTTATGTAAACACGGTGGAGAGGGCTCAGAGATTGAAGCTGTGATGGGATTCCGCTTTGTGCACACACATAAATCAAGTTAATGACAAAAAATATTGTATCAAGTGTAGATGAAATGGGTGTAGAGGTTATTTAGGAGGGGTAGAAGTGTGCGGGGTTAGACATTGATGGAAGGCGGCATACTAGCACTTTGTTAAACACAAACTAAGCCACAAGACAATCTATAATGCCAGCTAGCTGATGTCTTTGGAGATCTGTGATTCCCCCGCGATGCCATTGATGGATGGATGGTAGATTTCTGGGAAAAGCTTGAACATACCTACAATACATCAAATATATTGTTTTATAGTAGACAACGTTTTGCAAATTATTCCTCATTAAATGCATTTAAAGCTCATTTTGGATACAAGTCAATTTTGGCTCGAAGATCTCAGTGATTTCTAATGTAATTTCTGTTAATGATTCCCACAGAATATTCTCATTATTCTGTATGAATCATCTACCAGCTCAGCTACAATGTATACTTCAAGTGTTTTCAAGTGCCAGACTTCATTAAGAAATACGGAGAGAAGCTGTTGGGGGGGGTTCACTTTTGATAGATTCAGTTTTACATATGAAGAAAGGGGAGAAATATTGAAGAATTGCATTGGAAAGTATCAGGGATAACTCCTTCTTAAACCAGTTTCAAAACGTTGAACAATTTAGTAAATATCTGCCTTCTCGGCATCCTCCTATACTTCAACAATACTGAGAAAAAGACTTGAGATATGACTCTTAAGTGATTTTCAAACGTGGTTCAAAAACGTGAATTAAGGCTTGAGAATTCTGATCAAACTTGCGTGCTCTAAAGTAGATGCAGATGTATTCGGAGTATAATCCTACTCAATGGGGAATCCTCTTTAAGAAACACCAGTCGAAAGATATTTGATCTAGCATTCTATCGATCCTTTTGGAGATTTACATGGTCTTATTTCCCAACTTAAAGATTTCTATCTTTAGTTGCATTTTCCCCCTATATCACTTTTGTCTCGCTTGATGTTGACTTTGAGATTCTAGTTACAAAACAGAAAGGCATCAGATCGCTACACATAAGGAGGAGAATACACTGGGAGATTGGTAGCCGATCGGCTACCGTATCTAAGTTGGGAGTTGGATTTTGTGTTTGCGTGTGAGAAGCGTCACAAACAATGGGCTTGGGCTTGGGCTGTGGCTGTGGCCACAACTAACACCAGAAGTTAATGACAAGACAGTGACAATTCAAATTACACACGAGAGCGCACACACAGATACGGCAAACACTCGGCTACAAAGATACATGCATAGATACACACTCACACCGATGGATACAAATAGTTGACTACTGGCTGGAAGTGTACGCCCAATGCTCGTCTCCGACTCCTACCTGAAGTGCGGCTGAGCACATACCTGTTTGCAGTGCAGGAGCGTGTTGAAGCATTCATTAGATACACACACGCACACACACAGATGCAGAGGCAGGTTGTTTGTTCAGCCTCTCGCTCATACAACGAGAAGTGCATCCATCCAAGCAACAATCCATCCATCCATCCATCCATCGGTGTGTACGACGATGCCTGGGCTACTGTCAGTCAATGCTTGGCCTCAACGCGCACAGGATCGATCCACCATCAAAAAAAAAAAACCTCTCTTTTGTCGGAATTTCATTTCGTTTCGATCGGCAACGTTTCGGCGCTTTTTCTTTGACACCTACTCGCTGTATCCGACGATCTGTATCTCTGCAATGTCAATGTCAAAGTGCATCAGCATCAACGTCAGGCCCATGTACGAGTATCTCTGAAAGATCTTAATTGCGGTCGGTCCCAGCATTTAGCATTAACAAATTGGAGGCGAAGGATCACAAAGAAGGAATCGGAGTACCAAGCGATCATTTTGTGTGTGTGCCTGTGTGTGTGTGTGAAGTGAGTAAAGTGCTTTAATGATAAGTGGGGGAAGCATCTGAGAGCATACACCCACGCATGCCCAGACTCCTGGAAGTATGCAAAGATCTCTGAGGGCTCCGGGCTCTGCGTCTGTCCGCCTCTGGAATTAGTTAAACAAATAAATAAAACCCTGCAATAATTAACAATAACAAAAGGCGGCCTAATGAAGTCGTAGTTGTTGTTGTTACTGTTGCTGGAGATCAGATCGTCGTCTCACGATCCCGCTGTGGCATGGCCTGTCGATCACCAAAGATATTTACAGGAAAAATAATAATAAAATAAAAGACAGGCCCAGACGCAGAGAGACCGGTGCCAGAGGCTGGTGGGGGGCTCTGGAACCCCAGATACAGACCCAGAGCCAGAGCACTTGTCAATTTCAAAGATACGAAACTTTATTTCAATTTCATGTTGATCGATCTCTTGTGGGCCCCCACCAGCAACCAAATCGCCGGATTGATACATTGTGCACGTTTTTTGGCTTACCAAATCGCTGCTACCCCTCTCACTCCCTCACTCCCCCCTCCCCAGACATTCATCAGCGGACAGGCGGGGTCTGGGAATCTCAGAGATATTGTTACTTGTAGCGCAATTCGAAATTTGTTTATTGTTGTGCACGAGAGTCTCGGATTTCTAGAGAATTTCGTGGCGCATTGGGATGATGATTGATCGCTTATTGATACATATTCCATAATGCCAGCGCATGGAACCCTTCTCACCTTGTTAATACATCAACACAGCCCAGCGGCCGCTATGCGAGTACTCCTCGCTGATGAAGGATCAAACGTATTAATCACTGTCCCCTACTCTGTGGCACTCTTCTCTCTCTTGCAGAGCCGCATGCCGCGCCTGAACCACAGCGTGTCGATGGAGCGTCTTCAGGACTTTGCCACTTACTTCAGTCCCATACCCAGCATGGTGGGCGGGGTCTCGGACATGCCGCCCTACCCCCATCATCCGCACTATCCCGGTTACTCGTACCAGAGCAGTCCTTCGAACGGCGCCGCCGGCGGTGGTCCCATCCCTCCAGTGCCCGGACAGCACGGCCAGTACGGCTCCCCGGCCACTGCGGCGCTGCAGCCTCCACCACCACCGCCGCCTCCACACCATGCGGCCATGTTGCACCACCCGAATGCGGCGCTGGGCGACCTCTGCTCCGCCACCGCCGCCAGCGGACAGCCACACTACGGGCACAACCTCGGATCGGCCGTCACCTCCAGCATGCACCTGACCAACTCCAGCCACGAGGCGGAGGGAGCCGCTGCCGCAGCGGCCGCCGCCGGTAATGCCTACAAGATGGAGCACGACCTGATGTACTACGCGGTAAGTGGTGATCGATCTTTGTTAGTGAAACGATTACTAATCGATTATCTTGTATCGTTTCAGCAGAACACTTCCTCGGACATGAATCAAACGGATGGCTTCATGAACTCGATTTTCACCGATGAGGATCTGCAAATGATGGACATGAATGAGAGTAAGTACAGCCATCAAGCATAGATTCACTTTTAGCAGGGTTCACCTTAAATGCTTTCAATGTCAAATGGTCACTACCTTTTTGGTAAAAACATCCATTTCTAGTTTCCCTAAAAGCGTTTTCCCCTTTATTTCAAAGTTGAAAGCTTTTGAGTCAACACACACACACGTTTTCAACGATAGAGCTTTGACTCGCTCAGATCACATAAAGCTCACTCAAAGCAAGCACTGAGAACAGAACAATAGGAACAGATAAAACCTCCCTCTCTCTCACACAACTCGCCAACGATTTTTTTGCCGTAGCCGAGTTTTTTTGTGTGATAAGCACATCGTACAATTAGAATTTTGCTCTCTCGATCGCTCTCAGGTTTCGCGTTTACTTTGGATGACAAATAATTCGTCGTTTGGCGGACACACAGCACACTCACACAGATAAATACATTCATTCGCATACACACACCGAACGGGCGCGAAAGAGTCGGAGCAAAGCAAAGCGACAAGAACAGAGCAGGGCAGAGCAAAGCAAAGCGCCGCAGAGCAGCAGCAGCAGAGCAGAGTCGCCACCGAGCGCCGAAGTCAAATCATTCGAAAACGAACAATCACGAACAAAAGTAAAGTAAATATTAGAGCCGAAAACGAGAAATGAAACAAATAAAATTATAGTATAAATCAAACAACAAAAATATAGCAAAATCTATTACGTAGAGACAACGTGCTGCGGATCGACACTAAATATAATTAACGTAATTGATTTAATAAGTGATTTAATGACGCATTTGGCACAAATTTAAGATAACTATTCCACACGATCGTGTTCGCGCTCTCTCTCTGCTGCTCCCCTTTGTGTGTGCTTGTGTGTATGCACAACGAATTTAGAACGGTTGATGACGCGCGTGAGTAACGCATCCGAAAAAAAGACACTCTTGATCGCTCTCGTCGCGTAGACCAAAAACGGGATCGTGCTAAAAATCCAACAGGTGAGAGTGAGAGCATGCTCCAGGGTGGATGCTGTGCTGTGCTATGTGGGTGTGGGTGTATGGGAGGGTGGTTATTTATAAAAGAAGAGCAAAAGCAACAAAAAGCTCAAAAGCCCATTTGAAATATTTACCGCGTAACAATTTTTTCATTAGTCATGCCGCACGGCGATCTTTCTTTTGCTGTTGTTGCGGCGGCGTCGCTGCCGCCGCGCTGCTACTGCTGATATCAGCAGTAAGAACGTTCTGTCTATCTCTCTCTCTCTCTCTGCCGACTTTGACGTCGACGCTGCCTAATGCCCGCTCAGCAAGTTTTTTTTCTGCTGCTCTCGCTGCCTCTATCGCTGCCGCCCGCCTGTTTGCTGTTTACTATTTTTAAACTGCTGAGTCATCGTTTTCGAAACAAAAAATAAAACGTTAAGAAAAAAGCTTCAAGAGAGGATATCAGTGTAGAGAGAGAGAGAGCGAGAGAGGGAGCGGCTAGGCATAGTTGCCAATATCTCCGACTAGGAATGCCGAAACGTTAGTGGGTTACGTGTTTGCGTAGACATTTGTCGGTATTCTCATTCCGAAATACCCCTTGCGATTAAAGGGAATATAGATTTGGTGCACAAAATGCATATATCTTTGATTAGTATTTATATCAGGAGGTTTGTTCAAAACCTGTCCCTGTCTGTAGACAGAAAACTTGCCTAAACATCAGATATGAAACAGTAGTAACGATAGATCGGAAAGGGTATCAAAGCTTCGACCCCCGTACCGAGTTATCTCTCTTTTTTTTTGTTTTTGGGCGAATTTTTCCGTTTTTTTGCGCTCATAATGAAACGTGTCGGCTCTGCCGTTGGCTTTAGCGGTTATCTTTATGATTTCCGTTATGTTTATCGGTCTCGTCGGTCTCTTACGTTGCATACGTTATACGCAAAACCGCTACCGACAGCCACAGCTGTCCCGCTCTCGCGTGCATATGTACAATTGTACACATGCACATATGTATGATGTACGAGGTGTATCTGTATTTATAGCTATCACATTTTGTCAAGTCATCAATGTTTATGGGTTTTGACCTTGCGGATGGGGCAGTAATACTGAATACTATAAGCCAGCAGCCCCTCCTAATCAGCTTATGAATTGATTTTACTAATTAAGTGCAAGTAGTGGAACATATACATACATTTAGGAGTGGGGGAGATTGCAACCTCTATACAGAGGTACATACATAGTAGGTACATCTCTCCTCTGGAAGAACCTCCCCAGACATGGCTCACGATAAGATTTAGTAGATCTGACGCTGAAGAACCATTCTTTTTGCCTGTTTCGCAATATGAAAAGTGCGCAGAGCAAAAAAGCGAGAGAGAGAGAACCACGAGCATGTTATATATACCTTCCTTATCGCCCGATAAGATAAGTCGTCGAGTGAAATATGGAAAATGACTGCACACTTTTGGCACTGACTGGGGCTTATATTCCGACACGAATCGCGTTGTCCGTGGGCTGGTCGTGGTGGTCGTTAAATTCTGCTGAATAATCGAAGAAAGTGTAGATTTTTCTGCCCGAGAAATATAGGTTAGGTCACAGCAACTGATTCCACATGAAGAACTGGTTCGGTTCCGATTGCATAATCGGATACAGTTTTTAACAAGTCATTGAGAACTAGTTCAGAGCCGAACGGGTTGCCGGGTGGTGCACTCTGAACTAGTTTTAAAACGGAAATCTAGCTTATCCATTACTTACGATGAACCAATCACCAAATAGAAAACAACTAAATGTTTACTTGATTGTTGTCCTTACAGGCTTCTGTCGCATGGTGGACAACAGCACCAGCAACAACTCCTCGGTCCTGGGCCTGCCCGGCAGCGGACATGTCAGCCACGCGGCCGGCTCCGCACAGCTGGTTCCTGGGAATCACGGCACTGCTAATGGCGGATCATCCGTTGGCGGCGGTGTGGCATCTATGAGCGGTGGAGCTTCGTCGGTTGGCGCTGCGGGTGGCATGACCGCCGATATCCTGGCCAGTGGCGGAGGTGCAGCACAGGGCGGAACGGATCGATTGGACGCCAGCAGTGACAGTGCCGTCAGCTCGATGGGCTCCGAGCGGGTGCCGTCCCTCTCCGATGGGGAATGGGGCGAGGGCAGCGACTCGGCCCAGGACTACCACCAGGGCAAGTACGGCGGCCCCTACGACTTTAGTTACAACCACTCGCGCATCAGCACGGCCACCCGCCAGCCGCCGGTGGCCCAGAAGAAGCACCAGCTCTACGGCAAACGCGATCCCCATAAGCAGGTGCCCAGCGCCCTGCCGCCCACAGCGCCTCCGGCCACGGCCCACGCGCAGGCGCAGGCACAGAGTATCAAATACGAGTACGATGCCGGATACGCGGGCATGGCCAGCGGAGGAGTCGCCGGACTGCAGCACAGCGAGCCGGGCGCCATGGGGCCGGCCCTCTCCAAGGAGTACCATCAACAAGCCTACGGCATGGGCGCTAGCAGCAACTTTCCCGGCGACTACGGGGTTCGTCCGCCGCCTCGCACCTCCGAGGACCTGGTGCAGCTGAATCACACGTACTCGCTGCCCCAGGGCAGTGGCTCGCTCCCCAGACCCCAGGCGCGCGACAAGAAGCCACTGGTGGCCACCAAGAGCGCATCGAAGGCGGCTGCCGGCAGCTCTGCTGCCGCCACCGCGGAGGACGAGCATCTGACGCGCGACGAGAAGCGCGCCCGCTCCCTGAACATACCCATATCGGTGCAGGACATCATCAATCTGCCGATGGACGAGTTCAACGAGCGCCTATCCAAGTACGACTTGAGCGAGAACCAGCTGTCCCTCATCCGGGACATTCGTCGCCGTGGCAAGAACAAGGTGGCCGCCCAGAACTGCCGCAAACGCAAGCTGGATCAGATCCTCTCCCTGGAGGATGAGGTGAATGCGGTCGTCAAGCGCAAGACGGAGCTCAGCCAGGCCCGCGCCCACCTGGAGTCCGAGCGCAAGCGCATCTCCAATAAGTTTGCAATGCTCCATCGCCACGTGTTCCAGGTAAGTCTTTCCCCCTCTTGATTACACGGAAACCGATAGCTAATTTCCTTTTGTTTTTACTTGCAGTACCTGCGCGATCCTGATGGCAATCCCTGCTCGCCGACCGACTACAGTCTGCAGCAGGCGGCCGATGGTTCGGTGTATTTGCTGCCACGCGACAAGTCCGAGGGCAACAGCACGGCCACGAACGCCTCGAACGCAGTGTCCAGCGCTGGAACGAGTAACCTGAACGGGCATGGCCCGGTGGCGCCTCCCATGCACGGAGGCCACCACAGCCAGCACCATCAGCCGCAGCATGTGGACACCGCAATGTCCCAGCACGTGGCCAGGATGCCGCCGCATCTGCAGCAACAGCAGCAGCAGCAGTCGTCGCAGCATCACCATCAGCAGCAGCCAGGAGGAGGAGGCGGATCGCAACAGCAACAGCACCACAAGGAATGAAAATACCTGTTGCGAATTGCCGCAACAACGAGTTGGTTCACAAACCTTCAGCGCGAGCAGCAGCAACAGCAGCAGGAGCACCGTTTCGAGCAGCCTCAGCGGCAGCAGCAGCAGTACGACTACTGCTACGACTTTTTCAACAACAGTTACCTGTATTACTGATGATTACTGATAGCTGATAGCTGATTACTGATTACTGACTATTGATTACTGATTGATTTGATCACTGATCCCTGTTTGGCTGAGCTGTGGCTGTGGCTGTGGCGGCCTGGTGGTGCGCACTCCCTGCTGCAACTGCAACGTGTTGCTGGCAACATTCGTTGCTACCGCTGCACAGCCTCCCCCTTGCATGGCACCTCCTTCTTCATCGCATACCGCATACAGCACTCCCCCCCCCCTACACGTTTATGCTTTACTCTTTTAGTCAGCATTATTGTTATTTATTTTTTAATTAATTAATTAATTAATGGAATTCAGAAGCCGAGTCTCTCTCTTGTCCAGCCGAGTCCATTTCCAATTCGTATAAACCATAAAACTACAAAAACAACCACTACTTGTGATAAACCAAATCATTTCTGCCACTAAATGGAGAGAATGTCCAAGCCTCTTCTGCCTGAAATGTATTTGTAAATCACACGATCAGACATCGTCCACCATCCCATGCCCATCATTCAACCGCATCTATACACAAAGTTATCAACGCGTCGTCCAACAATATTTGATGGTGAAACCGTTTACACATTTCAATAATAATATATTGTAAAATATGAAAGAGAAAAAAAAGAGAGATGGAAGGAAGATTGTATAAATTAGTTGATAGGAAACGGCAGCAGCAGCAGCAGCATGCAACAAACACGAAAATGATTGTAAAGGTTGATAAATATTGATGGACTACGCCCGTAAGACACTTAGACGTAAGCCTAGTGGTACGCTTTAGTCTAGTGAGAGGTCTACACAAACACACACACACACACTGTAAATCGTACTAAATTCGTAAGGCATTTATCCAGCCCATAACAAACACAGCAAACATAACACAAATTAGCGTAGACCGTAGCATCTGTAAATATATAGATTAAACTTAGTTAAACTATTAACTATATAAACCTCTACAAAACAAAAAACAACAAAAAAAAAACCATCAAAGAAACTAAAGAAAAAACAATGTAAAAAGAGTGCAAAAACGTACTACAAAAAAGGAAATAAACACACATTAATGCTCTTGCCAGGACGGTCCTGGAACAGCAACTGCTGGCACTGTCCAACTGTACTGGCACTGGGCGCTCCCTAGTTGATAAGCAATTAAGAGATATTAATATTTAATATTCTTAAATGTCCTACTGCATAAAGAGTTTAACTTTAAACTAGCGATAAACACAACACACACATAAACATAAAAACACGAGTACGAGTACGATAACAAACCTAAACACACAGATCCGCAACACGAAAAACGAAACAAAAAACAAAAACATCTAGGCATATATGTATTTTAAATTGTTGTAATGAATTTCGCACACATTGAGTGTTGATTGGAGATTGGCAAAACAAAACAAAATAAAAACATCAAAAAACATATTCCCAAAGGTGAAAAAAAACGTATAAAAAAAAATTCAATAAAAATGCGCTGCTTCTCGATCAAGTAATAAAACCCACAAAATGCGAAATTATTTGTTGTAAATTGAAATTAAACTAATTAACTAAAATACTATTGTACTACTACCTTAAACAAATACATACGTAAAACAATACAGAAACAAAAAAGGAATCATTTAAAATATTCTATAAACATCAAAATTGGAGCAAAAGGGTCCTCAGATAACCAGTTTACAAGTCAAGGGTATCTGAGCATGCTTTTGCCACTCCTATATACATATGTTGCTATATATAATGTATGTGAATGTATCATATGAGAAATTTGTATGCTTTAAAAACGATCAACACTTTCCCTCAGCTAAACAAAGAGAACAGAACGTCAAAATTAAAGAAAGAAACTACAAAAAAATACATCAAATTAATCGAGTTTTGAATGGTATATGGGAAAGTATTTAAGTCCAATAAAACCTGGTAGCATTATCATTATCGTTATTGGATTCTTGGATTGGCATATTTGAAATTTCCAATGTGGACTGTTCGAGTACTACGTTAAGTTAGGATCCCACAGATACAGCTCGACTGTTTGGGCTTCGTTCATATTATCCATTCTTCCATAAAATTCTTAGATCGGACTGATGCCAGCAATCGATAGATAAATTCTACTTGAGCTATTTTTTTATCAATGAGCATTGATTTTCCCATAATTTATCAAACTTTCCTGCGCCATCCATTGGGTATTTGCACAATTTTGACCAAGCTATAGGTATAGTGGATCATATTTGCCAATTGATTCGCATTCCTAAAAAGATATCCATTTTATGACGATATTCGCATAACATCATTAAATTTGTAGAGATGTTGATGCCGATCGACAGTCTGGATCCTCGCGATGCTCCCAAAGAAAGTGCTTCACCGATCGGGCCACCCACTTGTCCGGGATATTGGCTGTGCATATAATTAAAATAATGCATTTTTCTAACCGCTATATATATCTCGGCTATTTAGCGCAGTATCTGGACGTGTTATGTCTCGGAAGAGTCTTTGGAATTCCAAATGATCCAAGGCTTTCCCCACCCCAACACAAAGCCACAGCAAGGAACACACACATAATTTTTGATTTTTCTTATATAGGTATATTCTTGGTCTTTCATTTTCACAATCTTGGCGACACTTACACATAAAATACATATCTACATCAATCAATCAATCAAATCTATCATTCATGCTCATACAATTTTATTGTCCACACATTATTCAGAACTCAAGCTCGTGTTTTTGAAACATTTTACTTTTTGCTTAAAACTTTTCATTCTTTCTAATGGAATTTTCTATAATCAGGGGATGTTCAACAATTATAATGGGGTAAAAGGGAATTCACAATTCCGTTCGTATTTTTCATTATCATTTCATTTTCTTTTCATATAATAATATGGTATTTATTTATGTATAATGAGCTTTATAAACATTTTTCTAGTGGTCTAAGCTTACGAGGAAGTTGCAGCATTTTGGTTTCTGTGTCTCACATCGTACTCTGCGGTAATATCAATGTTGTTTTAGCTTAATTATAGTAAATTCAATACAACTAAAGCTATCATCAACGTAAATCATTCATCATTCATTAGGCTATACATAGTACAATCGTTTATACGTTCGTTATTAGTTCTTTGGGAAGCAATCAAATTGCCTCCGCTTCAGCATGGTCAGGATTTACGGGGAAAGTTTCACAGCTGCATCAGCTCTATGGCTTTGACGGGAATCATCTCGCTTAATCTACTTTGAGTTAGTGTTAGAGTTAGATTAGAGGAGCCTACACTTAAATAGAATACAACATTGGGGGCTAGGGGGAGGGCTCTCCTCTCTCCTTACTCCTCCATCTACTTGTAATAATATCAACATATGGAATCTATGGGCAGCTGGTCCTGCTTGATGCTCAGGCGACGCGGATTCGACTTGCGGATGCTGCCATTGCTGGGACTCGTGGCTGGGGCACTGCCATTGCCATTGCCAGAGCCCGAACCCGAACCCGATCCTATGGCCAGCGTGCTCAGGCTGTTGTTGTTGCTGTAGTTGCTGCTGTTTATGGAATTACCAGAGTTGGTCTTCTCGTTAATACTTGAGAGGTTGGGTATGCTGGGCGCCGTCGTCGTAATGGTCAGTCCGCCCATGGTGAACGACGCCCCATGCTTGTTGTTGTTCAGCGGCTCCAGTTCGCTGGCCAGCACGCCGTTGGGTATGGAATGGGAGCGTATCTGCAGGCGGCCCGAGTCCAGCGACTCGTCACTCGCCGGATCCAGATGGTCCACCGATGCTGCGGAGGCAATGCGCTGGAACAGGCTGGCGGAGAGAGCGCGATCCGGGAACGGGGCCGCACCCAGACAGCTCTTGGCGCTCTTCGAGTACTCAGACTTGAGCTCGTCCAGCTGTTTGGCGCTGCACAGGGGCGTGTCCACGTCGTAGGTGTTGTTGAAGAGCGTGTAGTCGACCTCGTACTCGCCGGTCTCCTTGCGGAAGGATACCACATTGACGAAGCGATGGCCCCACAGCACCTCCGAGGGCAGATAGCTGCTGCGCGCCTGAGTGGTCATGCCAGTGGACTCGATGACGCCCTCTGCAAGCGAATAGGAATTGATTAGCTTAGTCCACAGAAAGAGGAGAAGAGTGCTCGACTTACCCAGCATGACGACCACTTCAAAGCGTTCCTTCAGCATATCCGAGGCGGAGAGCATGTACAGTGGGCTGTTCCGATCGATCTTGTGGACAATGGTGGTGGGCCAGATGAACATCAACCGATCCTCGCCCCCGTCGGCGCCTATGTGCAGCTCCTGTTGGTAGAACGGCAGCACCTCGCCCTCCTTGGTCACCTTCTTGCGGATGATCTGCGCCCGGATGTGCGCCTCGATGATGTGGGACTTGCGCATATCACCCACGCGGAACATCAGACAGGGCACACCATCCCTATGACAGATAACGGCGTTCCTCGAGAAGAGCAGCGTCTGTGCGCGCTTCTTGGGGCGCGACAGCTTGGCAAAGACAATGCCCACCATGAAGGCCTGGATGAAGACGCCCGTGATGCACTGGATGCACATGGTGAAGATGGCCTCCGGGCACTCCTCCGTCACGTAGCGATTGCCGTAGCCGATGGTCGTCTGCGTCTCCACGGAGTAGAGGAAGGCGGTCATGATGCTCTTCACCTCCGTCACGCACACCGTGTGCGTCATATTGGCCACCAGATCGGGTTGCTTGTCCCTCAAATTGATGTACTCCAGGTCGTTGTGGGCATAGGCGATGATCCACCAGATGAACCCAAAGAAGGCCCACGAAATGACGAAGCTGGCGGCGAAAACGAGCAGCGTCCAGCGCCACTGAGCATCCACCAATGTCGTGAAGATGTCCTATGGAATGGAACAAACGAACACAATTGTCAATTACACTGAAAATCCCTTTACATAAGACAGCACTGTCTCTTTTTCGGTTTTAAGTTATGCAAACTGAAATGCGAGAGAAAGACCCACTATATTTAGACCCCGCACGCACTAGATATAGCCACGCACTTGCCACACGGCTCCTCTCAGCCACCACTCACCTGCAGATATCGACGACGCCTCTTGGCCACATTGCCTTGCACCACGTTGCATTCGCCATGCTTGAACACCACACGTTTCCGGACACGCCTCGAGCTGAAACGTGTCTGCCGGTACCTACAAAAGCAGAAGAGAACAGATGTTACAACGTTATATTTATAGAATAGATGTTCTTTTGGGCAAAAGTCTTAGAAAAGAAGGGGTTTAACTGGAAGCAGGAATGGCTTTCAATCAGCAGAGGGTTTACACAACATTCGGGGCTTTGGAATGATTCTATTTTGGTACAGTTCGTACTTTAAGCTCTTCGAAATCTGTTTAAATCTTTGAAAACAAGGGTATACCCCAGAGAGGAGAGCAGGGCTATTCCCTCAACGCAATGGTATGCGTTGCGTTGAGGGAATTGCCCTGCTTTCAGTGCCTATACTCCCATTTTATCGTCGGTAGGGTAGCACAAAAACATTCAATCACAAGGAATACACCATAAAGCAACCGATTAAAGCCGTTCATTGTTCGGGAAAAACAGGAAATCACATCACAAAACAGATTGTCTCTGAATGACACTCAACCATTGACACATTCCCAGATGGTGGCTCAATGGGCATATAGGATAATAGAACACTTTATTCCTTTACCAAAGCATGGCCTGAAGCACAATACTGGAGAAACAGAGAACAAACACTAGACCGATAACGAACAGCATTAGAGTCGTGAGTCTAATACGCGTAGGAAACCCATTGGTTTCAATATTTCGGTTGTTTTTAAGAGATCTACAACTAGATCGCTGCGATCATCAATGCAGTTGGATTAGCACTGAGGAGGAGACCAAACCAGACCAAACCCGGTCCGAGGTTTTGGAAAACTTCGTTTAGCTTTTTGCCGGAACAACTGTAATCGCTAACTGTAAGTGCTCTCTCCTCCCTCGTTCTCGAACTGAAACAGAAACAGAAATCAGTGCAGTTTCTGTTTTACTTTGCCATACATTATCATTCCATTTTTGTTTCATTTGCACTCTTTATCAGCACCCCACCTCTCCCTCTCCCTCTCCCTCTCCCTCTCCCTATCCCTCTATCTCTTTCTCTTCTTTGTGCGTGGATTCCATTCCAGTGGAATATGCTCCCCACATACACGACGGCTTCTTGGTGGAAAGCTCTTGTTCTCTCCCTCTCCCAAGAACCGAAGCTTACAAATAAATGATCTATTAATCCCATAGGAAGAAACGGGTGGGTCGTAGATGATGAGGTAAGAACTAGTGACAAATGATATAATAGCATTAGAAATCCATTGAGATGGAAATTTCCTAATGAAAGAACAGTCGGATTATGGCTATTATTTATGTCATTCATAATTGTCTTTATATAGAAATTAATTGAATGAGAAAAGTCAGATTATAGAATGAACATTTAAAGCATTCGTAAAATTCTTAATAAATGGTTCTCTCTCTCTCTCAAAATGTAAATATACAAAAGATATTTCATTGATTTTTCCCATGATACAATAATGTTCATATATTTCGGGGAAGTATTATCTTTATAGAATCGTAAGAGGTTTGAGGTTTGGGGTTCATAAAGAGAGCTTTCACTCTACTTAAATTAAAGATAAGATGTTTCGATTATAAAATATATAAATATCCATTGGATCCATTAAGTAAGTTTAGTTTATAATAAAAGTCTAATCATCAACACGCCATATAATTAGCCTTTTTTAGTGATAGAATTTCTGAGAATAAAACATGATGATTCTCTCGATTTGAGAGTTCCGAATCAGGTGCGCAGCTTCATCAAAATTCGTAGAATTCTCAGACGGGGGACAGCTGTGGAGTGGCGCGGCATTAGAGTTCATTAGATGAAGTCAAAGTCTGCTGTGGATGCGGCTTGTTGCTGTTTTCTCATGCAAATAAACCGGCTTTAATTTGTTATTGTATCGTTATGATTTTTTGGGTTGTTTGCCGAATGCAATACAACAATAATAATATTATATGTACATATGTAGTCTGAAGAGTCTTCTGGGGGGAAGAACCGGTTGAAGCAGCGGGGGAGCACTCGAAAAAAGTTCAATGGAACGACACAAGCGACCCAGCATGATATCAGCTGGAATTTTATATTCCAGGCTTCCAGAGATACCGAGAAAACACTTATGTGGGTACTACGATACTCGTACAGATTATATAATACAGATAAGCCCTGGCTGGGCCTTCGGCTAATGGGTAATGACCCGCAATTAAAGCTCTGCCTTAGAGATAAACCCCTGGAATATAGGTGCTCATAGAAATCATAACAGAACTAACCTTCGACAAGATGAAATCAACTCAACCGAAGGTGCAATTCTAGAGGTGCTTTTGAGGTTTTTTTTCGCTATGGAATTTCATTCCTCAGTCATTCCTCAGCTGCTGGCCAGGGGCCAACTATTTGTACGAGCACACGGCACCCTATGCCTCTCTGTCGATCGTGAAAATGCACTTTTAAAGGTGCAAATAAGTTGACCATGGTCGTGATCATAATCTACGATTGGCGGGGCTTTGCTTTGGTTTGGTTCCCAATTGACGTCACTGATCTGTGGTTTGTGTTGCTTTTATGGCCGTCAGGGAATGTAAATTGAATGTTTCCTCTGAAGAGTGTTTTATGGCCGCAGTGCATGCACCACACCATAATATCTCGTATAAGATATTGTAAATTGGTAGCAAGTGCTGGCCATAAATCAAAGCCGAAACGAATGCCAATACGAACAGCGGGCACAGAATAGTGCCAGACGTTTTTACAGCACGTTTCGAAATATCATATGATATGTGGGCTAATTTTGTGTGGATTTTCAAGTGATCGATCATTTGTTGTGGTATGTAAGTGCATGTAAGTTTCGCAATGAATGGAGAAACGATGGGCAATAATGGCACGAAGAGTATATTCTTGATTGCTAATCCCATTGGGAAGGAGATAGCGGTGAGAGGAGATCCTTAACTGCTAAGACACACTGGGAGAGAGGTGGGAAAGTTTACATAGGAAGATCAGGCTTTGTTCAAACGATTTGAATTACGAATATTTATTTAGAGTCAATCCTTTGTTAATGGAATAGAGAATGCCCATGATTTTTGCTACATTTTCACACAGAATTTCCCATATTTTTGAAGCGTGCTAATGCAAATACATACCATACCATTCCGTTGGCATTGCCAAAAATGTAAGATAATTATGAATCTGAATATAGCCACTAGAATGTTGTCAACGAATAATGGCCACATCTTTGCCACTCGCAGAGATCGTGTGCGGATGGGGCACAGAATGGGATAGAACCAGCTTCCATGGGTCTCTGTTTAGATGAACCTTGAACTTAAAGGTGGATAGAATACACCTTCATACATACAAAGTACAATAAATATACTATTCTGTTCAGCTAAAAAGCCAGGCAAATATTTATGCGGCATTCAATTAAACATTCATTTACGTACATATATACGAGTATGTGCTCGAATTCTGAATACACAGATGCATATTCGTATTGTACGAGTATTTATGGTAAATATCCCGTGTTTAGCAATGAGATCGAAGCTGTTTAAATAAACTTCAAGGGTGACTAGCGCAGCGACTATCGCACATTCTACAACTATTATGAAACACCGTTAAGCTAATGAAAACTAATATTTGCACAAGGCTTTGAATGCAATAGAACCGGAATCCTATGCAGATTGCGCCTGAAATGTGAGGAAATCTACCAACAAGTTGCTTTATAGAGAACTTTTAGATCTCTTACTAGGCTTAGGAATGCTTAAAGTCTGATTATTACAGCCATAATCAGACTTTAAGCATACAAAAATATATGTAATGTAAATCATAATGATGGGATCAAGTAGAGAAATACTTGGGTTAGAAATGGTGCAGATTATGAGGTGAAGATATCTACTTAGGGATTGCAAAAGTGGTCGGTAGTCTATACTATTGATGATCTCTAGGATATGTGGTAAGATGTACTATATCTTGAAGGATCTAAAAGAGAAGTTCTGTGGCCGATCACTTGAGGATCTCTAAAGATTATAAAGTGGTAGATTAAGCCACTCCACTGATCCTTCCATTATGGCTCAATGTTTACCTCAACAGCTCCTCTGCCCACGACTGCTCGCTGGAATGTGTGGCACGATACATGATCATCGACAGGCGACTGAGACTGCGACGTAGCTCTGACATTTTGAGTGCGTTGATCAATCGTATGGTATCGTTGATTTTATCGAATCACAAGAGTGCGGTGCAGAACACAAAATGCTGAACCTTTGTAGAGAGAACTTTTTGCTGTTTTTTTTTTCTTCTTGTTTTGGCAAACCAAAAAACACAGATAAAACGTTTCTTCTTGTTCTAGTTTGTCATTGATATAAAAATAAAACACGGACAGTGTTTCAGCACGAGGCAACGATGTTCCGCCGACGAGCAGTCCCGCAAGTGACTCGAAAGCGATGTCAGCATCTCGATGGTTAGTTCTTCTTTGTGTTTGGTAACTCTTCACTTCAGGCCTCCATTAATTTGTGGATCGCGTATATCTTATATCTTTTTGTTAATGGGTGAACTGTGCGGTCGCACAACTTTTGGCCAACTGTCGGGCGAGCAAAATTGAAAAGTTCGCCTTCGTCGCGTTGTTGATATTAGTCCCAGCCGAGGAGAGGCCCCGCCGTAATCCCCCAGCCAACGAACGAGCCCCACGAATACCCCACTGCACCGCACACCGCACACCGCACACAAAACAAATTGTTTTTGTCTATGTTGTCGAATGTGGGGCTGCCTCATTTACTCATTTCACCTAATTACACATGTACCCTGTTTGTACTGCTTGTATCTATCAGATACACAAACACCCAGACACACACACACACACACACACACACACACGTGAGGGTATCTGTTTGCCTCATTAACATGGGGCTTTTGCTTGGGGATCGACACATGTCCCAGGTTCCAGGTGTGAGGGATCGATCAAGGGAATTCTATACGTATATATTCCAGCAAATATATTCCCAGCTAATCAGATATTTGCGGATTGACTGACTCAATTATTATTTGTTTTGCTGCAGCAAGAAATATATTTATAATGGCGATTTATCTTTAGCTGATCCCCCTCTAACCGGTTCATGCTGCCTTCTATCTGTCAGATAGATTTCCCTCGAACTTTGGTCGTGTAAAAATAGACAGAATTTCCCTGTTGGCAGTGCCATTTGTCTGCCGAATTCTGCAGTTGAATGACCCCCCCGTCCGTTCTAAAGCTACTGTTTTTAGGGGCTTATGATAATCCGTCAACTATAAAAATGGCGCTTGGTGGGTTTCCTATCTCAAGTGCTCCTCTGATCACGTCGCAGAAACTACTCTGGAAAGAACCCAAACAAACAAACAAAAATACAGATTGTCGGGCCATAAAGCACTTTGCACGGGAAGAACCACTCGGGCAGGGCCATGTCTGAGCCCATAATTCCCATTCCCATGAGTAATGTTACATATAAAGAGTGCACACTAATACATAGAGAAGAGTAATAATAACAATATTTGCCTTACTTTTTGATAACTCAAACATTGTGTGACGTCAACGCTGTGACGCATGGCCGAGCAGCGGAGACGGTAATCATGGCATTTGTAGTCAAGCATTGATATCGGTGTAAAGATATGGCAATCTTATGCCCATGATATGACCACTAAACACTATGACTAAACTTTTGACAGTCCAAAGACGGCCCCTGATTAGTGTGGTCGGTGGAAACGGACAGAAGTCAAGAGAAGATTCCACGAATTTAGAGCTCATAAAAGTCGCCACTGATTTGGTGGTTTATTTTAAGCCTCAGAAAGATGAGATAGTGGCGAAAAGCCTTGTAGTTTGGTCCAAAGGTTTAGCGACCCACAGAAGTAATGGTATTTTAGAAGAGAAGATCACTTAAAAGATCTACTGAAGCAGGAGCAAGATCTGCCTTTAAATAACGATCACCTAAAGGATCTACTGAAATGATCACTTAACCTTCTCTGATCACCGATCAATAATGATCCCCTAAATATCGCTCTTTCCCAATCGATCTTCAGACATAGTTATTCGCCGAATTTTCCCCTCATTTAAATTGCAAATAAATAAATATTGATTCAAGAGATATTATTAGCTTTGGAGTCACGTTGCGAACGTGTGTCGCTGGGGAAACCGGAGCACGCAGAGCACAGACAAATTGAGCAACCACTTAGCAAGTTCCAAGTATTTATCATCGAAATTTGCTAAAGGTCTTAGGAGGCTCCGTTTGTGTCTAGGAAGTTTCCACCTTGAATTGCGATCGCAATTAGTGTGCGAATAAAGAAATTATTACCATAAATGCCAGTCAGAGGCAGATGTCTCAATTCCCCCAAAATGAAATGGAGACCCGCGGATATTTGCATATGAAATTATCAGTGACAGAGCTCTCGCCAGTTCGTCATTAACTGGAAAAGTATCTACAAACAAGCGGAGCGAATGTATCTGTATCTGTACATGTCATCTCGTGAGTCATTCCCCACATCCGGAGGTAGGCACAGCCCCCCAAAGCCAAAGCCAAGCCCAAGCCGAACTCGAACTCGAAGTCGGAGACCCGTTTCCAGGTGCTAACAAATGCGCAGCTCCGCAGACTTTATCAACAACGATTCGGTTTATCTGTCTTAATCGCGAACCGCTTGCGGCACACTTGTAAATAATACTCGCCCTGGCACTCGAACTAAGAAAGGTACACAGAGAAGCAGAGGAGCACTGGCAACAGCAGAAATAAACCGTGCAAATATTATGGCCATGTGACAGCCAGCCAGACAGCGTCTTGTCAGCAGATTGGCAAAAGGTTGCACAAGAAGCATATAACTCAAAGAGAGGAAGGAAGCTAGAAGTGCCGAGCATGCGCCGCTTGTTAAGCTAATGACTACACGCTTTCTGAATCCCCAAATTGAAGTCACTGGAGTACAGTCTCCGCAAAAACTGCGATCCTCAGTTTATGGCATTGGAAAGCCGCTTTTATTATGGTTTAAACACGAAGTTGGTAAACGTTTTATTGCAAGTTTATTGCTAATTGCAGTGGCATTTAGTTTCTTTTAAGTACAGTCTCCACAAAGACTAACTTCTTTGGTTACGCGAAACAGGTACAGTCTTAAGTCTTACTATTCTTACGTACAATCTGCGCAAATGGTTGGCTCTTTCTTATAGCTGTAGAACTGTACCTGTGTCTCAACAAAAAGTAGCTTGCAAAATAAGACAAAAGAAAACAAGACTCTCGAAGGGTAATTTTAACTTTTGTCTACTTCCATGTCCAGGTACAGTCCCAACAAAAGGCACGCACGGAAATCCTCCGCATCAAGGTTAGACTTAAAATTATTATTATTTGATCATTAAATACGAACAGTAGCACCCTGAAACCCTGACCCTCTTTCCATATTACAGTTAAAAAATCCCCAGATAAGCGCTCTATATACTCTGGCTGCTATCTTCTCCCACTTTCGGTTATCTTTGAATGGAAGCCCTAATAGTAATACAGCTATGTACATATATGGAAAATGCAAATATCGCCAGAGCTGTATGAGCCGCAAAGCAAATAAAAAAGCGTGCAGGGCGATCGTTGATATCTTAAACTTGAGAAAATCCTTTCCAAAGCCTAAACGGTTTTTGTTGTTTGTTGCGTGCGTTGGTGGCATATCGCCAATATGGTAAGGCATTCCTCACCGGCCTCTAAATTATTTATAAAGGTAAAGGTGCCGGCATTTAAATTCCACCAACGATCGGCGATCGCTCGCTCTCTCCCTCACTCTTTCGAAGAAGATCACATGCGTTTCTCTTATACGCCAGCCCAGCTGATGCATCTGAATGTCTCTGCTGGTATAAGAGTTGTTCTGCTGCACTTTCTATGCTGTTGTTGCCATGCTCTCGTACATATTATATTTGATTTTGGCATGATGACATCGTACAGTGTACTCTCTTCAAGGGGAGCAGTGTATGCTTCACTGTACCCCAAATACCCAGTCGACAGATCACTTTTATGCCCCGAGTTCAATGGAATTCAAACAAGTTTGAGGCAAACACGTGATGCCGATGCCGATGCCTCTGGTCTTCAAAACAATGCAATTGAAAACCTGAACTACTTGAATGTTATCCACTGTACGAGTACGAGTATATACATAATGCTTATATGATAAATGAAATCGTTTTGTCTTTGCCACTTACTCGTACATGGCATCCACCAGATCACGCTCCCAGGTCATCAGACGCTTCATGTTTGCCACAAAAAATTGCGTACAAATGTTGAGGCGTTCCAATATTTCAGTCCAAACACGTGTGGACCTCCCTTCGAGTTGTGTAACACTATGTAAATTTGCAGCTAAGGTAACGTCACGGCCCAGCAACAGTTGCGTTGGCGTTTGACAACTCCTTTTGACAGCTACAACAAAAGCTCTCGCTTTCTGTCAGAGAGCGCTGCTGTGGTGGCACAGTTGTTCTTGTTCTTTCAAATGGAACAGTGGTCACAGAACTTTGAAAACAATAGTAGATTCGAGCACTTTTTTTGAATTTAATACTTTTAATACTGTCGGATGTCGCAGCAGCGGATGACGATATCGTTGGATTATGGTTATGCGAGTGTGGTGGTATGTGGAGCGTGTGTGTGGGGCAGGTTTCTCCACCGATAAACTTGAAACACACAACAAAACGGAACTTTATTTTTTTATTTTTTATGATACAATATTTTGCCCACTTTTGCGGCTCTTGATCAGAAATGCGTTCTTTTTGTGGTGGGAAAGGCAAAAATGGTTTTTATTTTGAAATAAACAAAAGCGCGCATTATATTCACAGTGGGATCGCCTCTGAGCGGCGTGTCGCGTCGCGTCGGTGGCGGCGGCGGCGGCGTCGGCAACGGGGCGGATGAACTACGTAAAAAATCTTCAAGCGTGGCACGTTCTTTCGGTCACTCTTTCAACGGTGTTGTCGAATTCACAACTGAGCGCCGTGTGGCACAGAAGTGCGCTTAAATAGAGAAACAGATATCGCCGTTTGTGCAACGACAGGGAGAGAGAGAGACAGCGATCATGCGAGAGAGCGGCGGGACAGGTGTATAACTTTCTGCGAAGACGACTAAATTCGATCTGAAATACTTGGTGCTCGGTTGACAGCTTTGTTGCTTTTTATTTTGAGTTTTAAGTGGAAGACGCGATAGCAGAAGAGGGAGAAGCAGAGACAAAGCGACAAAGCAAAGCAAACACAAACAGAATGACAAAAACACACACACAAACACACACGGCGTGAGAGAGCATGATATACAACAGCTGATAATCGCTGCTCATTTTTCGACAGAGCAACAAAACGAATAAAAGAGCTCGCTCTCTCTCGCTCGCTCGCTCGCCCGCTCTGTGATGGGAAGGCAGCATCAGGAAGCTTTCGCCTGGCGTCGGCCCCCAGGCTTAATTCGCCCTTAAATCAAGGCAATTCGCCGCACTTTATTGCCCTCAAAGATGTAATCGCCTTAAGCTTTAACAGTTACATTCGCCTGACAGGCGGCAATGATCGTCGTTTCGATAAATTGTTGTCAAAAGACAATTAAAGCCATTCTCTGAGGAATGGAGGCAGGCGGAGAGGCAGAGAGAGAGAGTGGGGGAAAGGAGTGCGAATCAAGTTTAAAGATATTTCGCCAATTAGCGACGCATAAAACTCAATTTATAACTGCAATTTCCATTAGTGCCATAAAATATAAAAGAGATACATATATACAGATATCTTATATCTTGTATCTTTAGTATATATCCAACATATTGTATGTATGCACGATATGGCCATATTAATGTCTGTGGGGCCACAGCCACGATATTCGATAATCAAATCAGGCACGTCTGCTTAGTGGGGGGAAACAAATTAAATCACGATTCGTTAGCTGATTAGCGTCTCGACTGAGCTCTCAGCTTGGCCTATGGAATCTATGGAAAATTCTTCAGATTACTGCCTCCCCCTAAAAATAGATCGGAGAAGTGCATGTGACTCCCGGATCGACCGACACACGTCCTACGCATTCAGAAATGGCGACTTTCGACTCTCGTTTGTTCCTTTGCATTTCGAACAATTTATAGCCACCTTTCAATCGCCCCTGATATTTGATACTCGTATTATTTGCAGCTATCAATGGCACGTCTTTTGCACACGCCCAACGTGTCTACGGGGGCTTCCATTTCGTTCTACTGCCAAAGTTCTCCTCAATCACATGATGGACACATGGACAGGGCAGGCCCCTGGGGATCAGTCAATCTATCAAGTGGGAAGGATGGAATGTTCGAAACCACAAGTCACGTTCAGGAATTAGGGCATTATAAAAGATTATTATTAAACCAATTTTAAAGGGTTTTCTAAATCAAAAATCGGTCTGCGATCATGCCTGGAATGGAACGGCTTCTTCCTGGTGATAAGATAATTCAAGCAGGATCATTATCGATCGAGTGTGAACCGATCGCCATATTTTTCGTGGGTGATGCATTATAGAATGAATCAAATCCTTATTAATGGCATCACAATACTTTTATTTCGAATTAGAGATCAGTAAGATGCACTTGTGGATCTTTAAAGTCTCATGGAGATCACCTAAAGGCAATGGCTAAAAGAATATAAACAATATTTGGATCTTTTTGGCCAATCACTTCAAGAAAGCACATCATTAAGCATTGAAAGATCAAAAAGTTCATGTTTAAAGTCTTATAGAGATCACTTAAAGATCACTTCATTCATATCATTCTTGTGTTAGCAATGGAGTTCTGTTATTCCAAGATCAATGTGAAACACAAGCCGACAACAAACCACTATGTAAGCCTTAAATGTTACACTATAGATCGAATTACCTTCTAAAAGTTATAGTTCACATAATAATCTTGTGAATCAATTAAGAGCATGTGATCAATTTAATGTCTAGATCTTGCACAATCTCCCCTGAATCGAAAGCAATACTTCTGTTTCTCAACAGGTGAGTATTATCGCCTGTCAACAGCCAGAGGGTTATTCCACTGGGGTAATGGGAATTATCAAATGAATCTATCATAATAAAAATAATTAATTTCGCTGAATCGTAGGCAACAGGTCGAATTGGACGAGCTATTGGCGGTCACATTTGGGCTCTCGAGTGGCGTCGCGTCTCCAAATATTGGCCAAATCAATTCACAGCGGAAATGAAGGGGGGCGGGCGACTGCCGACTGTTGACTGTTGACTGTTTGACTGCTTCGAAATTAATCATACGCCCAGCAGACAATCGAAGATTGCGATTCCCCGAAGAAAGTGTGCCGAATCGGGCCATAAAGAGTGTGTAAATGTTTGTATTGGATTCCACGCAGTGGGATCTGGCTATATATAGCCTTGGGGATTTAGACTATTGACAAGCATAATTCTCGCTTCGAGCCGCATAGGAAATCCCCTACGATACGAGCAGCCTACCCCTGGCACTCGGCCAGAACGAACCGCAATGAGCTGTCGGGGCGTTTAACACGTTTTTAATTGACTTATGGGCCGCAAAAGTGGATTCTGAAATGCAAGACACTTCATTCCGATACCGATTCCGATTCGGATTCCGATTTGCGACGGCTCTTTCGCATTATGCAAATTCGTGTCAAGGCAGAGATCGGCAGAATGCGAACGGCACGGCGCGGCAGGTGCGATCATTGACTCTACTAGTAGCAGCCCCCTCCCGGCAGAATGTTCTCAATAAACATGCCCCAGGGAGTCGGTCAACAGTGTGGACGAGAGAGAGAGCTGCTGTTTACTATCAAAATATGAAATACTTATGTAGTGCTCGCACGCCTAATGTCAGGGCCGTTCATTAGGCTTGGATTCTAAGCCCAATTAAGGCAGCATCAGAATCAGAATCGCAGCCATATCGTCGCTCTGACTCCGCCTGTGGTTGTGGAACAGCAGGCGGAAATAATATTTAATTGTCCACCCACTGTCGCGGCATTTAAATCAAAAATAATTCAATTTTGTCATTTCAGGCAATCAACTCAAAAGGTTTATCTCGCTCGACTGCCTCCGATCCGTCCCGATCCGTCCCGATCCGATCCGCTCTCGTTCTCTTTCTCAGTGTATGGTCTCACTGTTTGGATGATTGCATTATCTCTATGCCAGAGGCATTATCTGGCGCTGGGCAGACGTCAGACGGGCAGGCATTTGCATATCAAAGCGGTAAAACGGATACGCCCGAGACATCGGTGGTAGCGACACGTGTCGTGTGTGTGAGGAGGCGTTGCCAAAGAAATGCCTTCTCTGCTTATTCGCCACCGACTGTCTGGCGGTGGACTATGCGGCTATATTTAATAGAATGACTGTATGCTAAGAGGGCCAGCAAAGCGGGGAGGCGCGTGAATTTTCTCGAAATCTGATGATAAGTTGCGCGCCAAATATTGAAAGATTACATCTTTGTAAGCAATGAATATGTATTCAAACAGTATGCTGACTAAAGGAAGGTACAACATTGATGTGTAGCCTTAACAGGAGACGAATTCCCTATAGGAATACTGGGACACGTACATCGTTTTCGTTGATGGTTTGTCAAAGCATCACAGGGAAATCTTCAACATGCCATCCAATCATCCAAGAACCAGAGCCATTTGCTTATACGTTGACCTACTAATATTTAGATCTTCTGAAGAACCATCTGAATGAAGGTTCTTTGTTTTTTTTTTCTCCGCCAACTGATTAGCGGCACTCCCTGGCGTATGAGTAATATTTTACAGGCACAAACAGGAAGTTCTCTTTTTATAATCTATCTTTTAGAGTGAGCGATTACTCACCTGTTCAGTTGTCCGGGGGACTCGCTGACGGCTTTGATGGATCGCCTGATCTGTCGGTGAAATGTGCCCAGGATGGACTCCTTGCGGGAGAGCTGCGTGCCACTGCCACTGGACTCGCCCCCGGTGCTGTTGATGTTCGAGGCATAGGTGGCACTGCGCTTGTAGCTCTCCTCGAGAACGGGTCCGCCGGATGCCGTCTCCGAGACGACGCCCGGAGTGGTGGCCAACACCAGTTGGTCCACGCTGAGCTGCGTGGTTTCCGGTTGGACAGAGGTCTCGTTGTTGTTGCTGTTGCTGTTGCTGTTGCCCATCTTCACAATGATGGGGGTCTTGCCCTTGTCGCCCTCGGGCAGCAGCTTCGTCCAGGCATTCTCGCCCACCAGATCCGACTTGTCGACTATCATATTTGGCTTTGACTAATTACGGCTACGGTTTGCGATAATCGGTAGGCAGCACACTCTCTTTGGGGGTGTGTGTGTGTGTGTTCACTTTGGTCTCGTTTGGTCCTGGGCCAGGTCCAGGTCAGCGGGGAGTATTCGTTATAAGGGAAAGTTGTTGGGCGTGCTCTTCTGCTGCTGTCTGGGTATGCTCGAGCCGTTCATGGAGAGTGCTTTGCGTGGTGTTGGGTCCACTGGGAGTTTTTCTGCAAAGAGCAGCACACGAATTCGGATTAGAAATGCAGTTCATTATCATCCACCTCCGCCAACTGACGATCGTGTAACACCCACACGTCTAACGTCTAGTCTATCTATTTTCTATGGTTTTTCACTTCGCGTAGTGCCATCAATCTTTTTAGCACACTTAACAAAGTCTTAAAGTTCGCTTCCTTTATATGCAATTAAACAATATTAAACAATGTTGCTAATTCCTTTGAAGCTGCGGTTTTTTATTGTTTTACTGCTGTTATCCGTGTCTGGCTTTAAGTGCTTGTGCGTCTTTAGGGTACGGCTTTAGGGGTAGGAATACCTGAGCTAGAAACTCTTCTTTACTTAAATATTGAAGGAAATTCCTTCAAATATAAGCAACAAATTATTATTGATTGTATTTGAAGGTATTCTTCAGTAACATATTTACATTTTATGTTTTATGTTAAATATCATTTTTTGATATTTTTAAACACGATTTAAAGGTATTAAATCGAAAATTAAATTTTTCTTCATTCTCAGGGTTATTCATTCTCTAACTTTAGAAGAACTGCAATACTTTTTTAAAGTTTTAATTTTATTTATTTCATTCAGACTTTTTCAGTTATTATCACAAATATTGATCATTATTCT